CCCTACCTTTCACCTTACACAAAAATCCACTCAACATGGATTAAAGACTTAAATCTACGACCTGACACCATCAAATTATTAGAGAGCATTGGAAAAACCCTGCAAGATATAGGTACCGGCAATGACTTCTTGGAAAACACCCCAGAAGCACAGGCAGTCAAAGCCAAAATTAACATTTGGGATTGCATCAAATTGAGAAGTGTCTGTACTGCAAAACAAACAGTCAGGAAAGTGAAGAGGCAACCAACAGAATGGGAAAATATATTTGCAAACTATGCAACTGATAAAGGGTTGATAACCAGAATCTACAGAGAAATCAAGAAACTCCACAACATCAAAACAAACAACCCACTTAAGAGATGGGCCAAGGACCTCAAGAGACATTTTTCAAAAGAGGAAATCCAAATGGCCAACAGACACATGAAAAAATGTTCAAGATCACTAGCAATCAGGGAAATGCAAATCAAAACCACAATGAGGTTCCACCTCACCCCAGTTAGAATGGCTCACATTCAGAAATCCACCAACAATAGATGCTGGAGAGGATGTGGGGAAAAAGGGACATTAACCCACTATTGGTGGGAATGCAAACCGGTTAAGCCACTATGGAAGTCAGTCTGGAGATTCCTCAGAAACCTGAATATAACCCTACCATTCAACCCAGCCATTCCACTCCTTGGAATTTACCCAAAGGAAATTAAATTGGCAAACAAACAAGCTGTCTGCACCCTAATGTTTATTGCAGCTCAATTTACAATAGCTAAGACCTGGAACCAACCTAAATGCCCATCAACGGTACACTGGATAAAGAAATTACGGGACATGTACTCTATAGAATACTATTCAGCAGTCAAAAACAACGAAACCCAGTCATTTTCAACAAGATGGAGGAATTTAGAAAACATCATGCTGAGTGAATTAAGCCAGTCCCAAAGGGACAAATATCATATGTTCTCCCTGATTGGCGACAACTAACTGAGCACCAAAGGGGAAACTTGTTGAAGTGAAATGGACACTGAGAAACAGTGACTTGATCAGCTCTTTTCCTGACGGTTGATGTACAATGTAATACTTTATCCATTTTAGTATTTTTTTTTTGTTCTAGTACCATTGGTTGAACTCTGTAATTAACACACAATTATTCTTAGGTGTTTAAATTTTAACTGAAAAGTGATCCCTGTTAGGAATTTGGAAAACATTATGTTGAGTGAAATAAGCCAATCCCAAAGGGACAAATACCACTTGTTCTCCTTGATAGGTGACAACTAACTGAGCACCAAAAAGGAAACCTGTTAAAGTGAAATGAACACTATGAGAAACGGTGACTTGATCAGCCCTTACCCTGACTGTTGATGAGCAGCTTAATATGTTATCCCTCTTAGTATTTTTTTTTGTTTGTTCTACTTAATACTTTTGGTTGAATACTGTAATCAATACACAATTCTTCTTAACTGCTGAAACTCAACTGAAAAGTGATTGCTGTTAAATATAAGAGTGGGAACGAGACAGGGAAGAGATGTGCAATTCGGGACATGCTCAAGCTGACTTACCTCAAACAGTAGAGTTAGAAACATACCAGGGGATTCGAATTCAATCCCATCAAGGTGGCATGTACCAATGCCATCTCACTAGTCCCAGTGATCAATTTCTGTTCACAATTGATCATAATGATAGGACTAAGAACCAAAGGGATCACATAAACAAGAATAGTGTCTGCAAATACTAGCTGATAGAATCAAAAAGGGAGAGAATGATGCAACATGTTAAGTGAGATACACAGCAGACCCATAGAATGGCAAATGTCCTAACAGCACTCTGGCCTCAGAATCAGCCCTAAGGCATGCGGATCCGGCTGAAATGCCCATGAGAGTATTTCAGGCATGGAAAGCCAAGACACTCTGGGGGAAAAAAAAAACCTAAATGAAAGATCTCTGTGAGATCCCAGTGGAAAGAATGGGTCATCAAAGAAGGAGGTACCTTTCTCTGAAGGGAGGAGAGAACTTCCACTTTGACCATGGCCTTGTCTAAAAATGATCAGAGTCAGTGAACCCAGGGGGCTTCCATAGCCTTGGCAGCTCATGACAAGAGCCTAGGGTGATTACTGATGCCATAAACAAGAGTTTCGATTTGTTAAGTCAACAACAGGAGTCACTGTGCACTTACTCCTCATGTAGGATCTTTGTCCTTAGTGTGCTGTACATTGAGATTTAATGCTATAATTAGTACTCAAACAGTATTTTTCACTTTATGTTTCTGTGTGGGAGCAAACTGTTGAAATCTTTACTTAATGTATGCTAAACTGATCTTCTGTATATAAAGAGAATCGAAAATGAATCTTGACATGAAAGGAAGGGGAGAGGGAGTGGGAAAGGGGAGGGTTGCGGGTTGGAGGGACATTATGGGGGGGAAGTCATTGTAATCAATATTCTGTACTTTGGAAATTATATTCATTAAATAAAAGTTAAAAAAAAAAAAGAAAGCTTTCCAATTAAAGATCTGGATGACTAGCTCTCCCAAAACTGAAGGGATCTGGCAATGATGGAATCATGTTCTCATGAGGTCACAGCCAGCTGGGGCTGACCACTATCCCATGTACTCAGACAGGGTGGCCTCTCTTGGTAGGCAGGTTCCCCGGGCCTCCTTCCTGTGTCAATTGCCTGGGCTCACAGGCATTTGACAGGCCTCCTGTGCTTCAGCTTTTTCCTGTATAGTCAAAATGGACCAATGGTAAACAACTTGAGCAGAATAAATTTCTAAAAGCTTACCAAATTATAATTTAAAAGCAATTAGTTTGGTTGTTTAGGGACTACTGAGAACAGCCAAACATTGGCCACATAGTGATGAGACAGAGCTAGATTTTTGTTGCTTCTGTTCTAGGAAAGCCAGTCCTTCCACTTCTGTGAGAAAAAGTGGTAAATGGCTCCAGGCTCTTTCAGTTCACATACATGCATATATATAAATACACAGTACAGAAGCTGGTCTTCACCATACCATTTTAACTATGATTACTGAGGATCCATTTATTGAAAGAGGAGGCAGCAGGTAACATATTCCAAAATGAAAACTATCATTCATGACATATTCTTAGGACATAACAAATATATACAATACATAGAAGCAAATACTACAGTTTCTTTAAAAATATTTGTCTTATTTATTTTTTTTTTTTGACAGGCAGAGTGGACAGTGAGAGAGAGAGACAGAGAGAAAGGTCTTCCTTTGCCGTTGGTTCACTCTCCAATGGCCGCCGCGGCCGGCGCGCTGCGGCTGGCGCACCGCGCTGATCCGATGGCAGGAGCCAGGTGCTTTTCCTGGTCTCCCATGGGGTGCAGGGCCCAAGCACCTGGGCCATCCTCCACTGCACTCCCGGGCCACAGCAGAGGGCTGGCCTGGAAGAGGGGCAACCGGGACAGAATCCGGCGCCCCGACCGGGACTAGAACCCGGTGTGCCGGCGCCGCTAGGCGGAGGATTAGCCTAGTGAGCCGCGGCGCCGGCTGTCTTATTTATTTGAAAGGCAGAATTACAGACAGAGAGGAAGAGACAGAGATCTTCCATTCACTGGTTCACTTACCAAATGGCTGCAACAGCCAGAGCTGGGTCAGGCTGAAGCCATAAGCCCAGAACTCTATCCAGGTCTCCCACATGGGTGGCAGGGGTTAAAGCACTTGGGTTATAACTTGCTGCCTTCCCAGGCACATTAGCAGGAAGCAGAGTAGCTGTGAATAGAAGTAGTACTCATATAGGATGTCAGTGTTACAGGTGACAGCTAACTGGCTATACTACAACACTGGTACCAAATACTATACTTTCTTAAGCGACGGGATGTTCACTACCCTAAATTAAAGAACAAACTTTATAGAGGATACTGTTGAGTGATCAAAATCTTACTTAAGTTTATCTGTAGTGGTAGGTTGATTTTCTACAGCTAGGGAAAAAAGAAATCAAACAAATTCATCTCCTACTCAGTCACTACAGGGAAAGTGAGACATAAAATCATTATTCTGTATTCATTATCTCTTTTACCCCTTTTAGCTCTTGGGGATAGCCTAAGGAAAAGGAAGTCTCTAGCTCTGACATACATATGACTCTTGGGACTCTGAACAAGTGGTCTTGACTCATGAGACTTTCCAAGAAAGAAAAGTTGTCAAAGTCCCAGACTAAGACATTTGTCCCCAAACAGGGATAACAGAAACGATAGATATTTTTCATCAGGGGCTGGTGCTGTGGTGTAGCGGGTAAAGCTGCTGCCTGCAGTGCTGGCATCCCATATGGTTGCGGTTCAAGTCCTGGCTGCTTCACTTCTGATCCAGCTCTCTGCTATGGCATGAGATAGCAGTGGAAGATGACCCAAGCCCTTGGGCCCTTGCACCCGCGTGAGAGATCCAGAAAAATCTCCTGTCTCCTAGCTTCAGGTGGGCGCAGCTCCAGATGTTGTGGCCAACTGGGGGGTGAAACAACTGATGGAAGACCTCTATATCTATATCTCTCGCTGCCTCTCCTTTTCTCTCTGTGTAATAAATAAATAAATCTTAAAAAAATATCAAAATATAACGAAAATTTATAATCATATTTGGGTCCCAACATCTGATCATTCCCATTAGATGTCTATGACATTCTAGTCATGCTAGAGTTAATGCCTTCACATGAAACAAACTTCACAAAAATGTAAACTTTAACCACTTCTAGCTGAAGGCTACAGAAAATTTATTGAGTACGATTTATGGATTACAATGGCTTCCCCCCCATACCGTCCCTCCCACCCACAACCCTCCCCTTTCCCACTCCCTCTCCCCTTCCATTCACATCAAGATTCATTTTCGATTATCTTAATATACAGAAGATCAGCTTAGTATACATTAAGTAAGGATTTCAACAGTTTGCTCCCACACAGAAACATAAAGTGAAAAATAATAGATGATCATTTTTTAAATGATGATGAAATCAGATCAGACCTGTTGTCATGTTTAATCCCAGTGAGAGTCAAGTTGGGAATTGATAATTTCTTTTTTTTTTTTTTTTTTTTTTACAGAAGATCAGTTTAGTATGCATTAAGATTTCAATAGTTTGCACCCCCATAGAAACACAAAGTGAAATATATTGTTTGAGTACTCGTTACATTAAATCTCAATGCACAGCACATTAAGGACAGAGATCCTACATGAGGAGTAAGTGCACAGTGACTCCTGTAGTTGACTTTACCAATTGACACTCCTGTCTATGGCATCAGTAATCTCCCTATGCTCCAGTCATGAGTTCCCAAGGCTATGGAAGCCCCTTGAGTTCTCCGACTCTTATCTTGTTTAGACAAGGTCATAGTCAAAGTGGAGGTTCTCTCCTCCCTTCAGAGAAAGGTACCTCCTTCTTTGAAGACCTGTTCTTTCCACTGGGATCTCACTCGCAGAGATCTTTTGCCAGAGTGTCTTGGCTTTCCATGCCTGAAATACTCTCATGGGCTTTTCAGCCAGATCCGAATGCCTTTAGGGCTGATTCTGAGGCCAGAGTGCTATTTAGGACATCTGCCATTCTATGAGTCTGCTGAGTATCTCACTTCCCATGTTGGATCACTCTCCCCTTTATTTATTCTATCGGTTAGTGTTAGCAGGTACTAGACTTGTTTATGTGCTCCCTTTGACTCTTAGTCCTTTCATTATGATCAATTGTGAACTGAAATTGATCACTTGGACTAGTGAGATGGCATTGGTACATGCCACCTTGATGGGATTGAATTGGAATCCCCTGGTATGTTTCTAACTCTACCATGTGGGGCAAGTCAGCTTGAGCATGTCCCAAATTATACATCTCTATCTTTTATCACCGACTGACTTTCATGATGCTTTTTTTTTTTTTTTTTTTAAGATTTATTTATTTGAAAGGCAGAGTTACAGAGAGAGGTAGAAACAGAGAGAAGTCTTCCATCCTCTGGTTCATTCCCCAAATAGCCACAATGGCTGGAGCTGAGTCTATCCGAAGCCAGGAGCCAGGAGCTTCCTTTGGGTCCCTGCTGTGGGGACAGGGGTCCAAAGACTTGGGACATCTTGACTGCTTTCTCAGGCCATAGCAGAGAGCTGGATCAGAAGTGGAGCAGCCAGGACTTGAACTGATGCCTATATGGGATGCTGGCGCTACAAGCTGGGGCTTTAACCCACTGTGCCACAGCCCCAGACCCATGAGGGTTTTTAAAAAAGATTTATTCATTTATTTGAAAGTCAGAGTTACAGAGAAAAGGGAAGAAACATGAGAGATAGATTTTCCATCTGCTGGTTCACTCTGCAGATGGCCACAACAACCAGCACTGGGCAACTCCAAGCGAGGAGCAGGAGGTTCTTCCAGGTCTCCCACACGGGTAGCAGGGGCCTAAGCACTTTAACCACCTCCTGCTGCTTTTCATTGGCCATTAGCAGGGAGCTAGATCAGAAGCACAGCAGCCATGACATGAACCAGTGCCCATATGGAATGCCAGCATTGCAGGCAGTAGCTTTACTCACTATGTCACAATGTCAATTCCTCATGAGGCTCTAAAACACTACCCACTCTACATGTATGAAATCTCCTTTATTTTCCTTCTCCGTGTTTCCTCCTCATTTCTTTCCCTAATTTTTCAGAACTTCATATTCTAGGCTTGAATTTCTTCCTTGTAAGTGAAAAAACAAAAACCTATATTTATGGAAACGAACAGAAGGTTCATCATACTTTCCTTCTTATAATTCAGTTCAATTAAAACAAAAGAAGTAAAAATTATATGGCAAAGGAAATAAATGTTACTTGCTCCACCAAACACAGAATGTAACCCATGACCAAAGAGAAATGATCAAAGTAAAAGTAAGATAAAAGAAACAAGTTTGACTCAAGCAAATTTCTTCCTCCTCTTGGCCACTCTAAGACCCTTCGCCCAGTCGTTCTGTCAGCAGATAGCCTAGAACCTGGTGGGATAGCTCAGGTAACTACAAGATATACACCAGGCAGACTGGAGTGCTGATAATCTCCCACACAGGCCAGATAATCACAGCAAGTCCTGACAGACAATTATGGAGTGGGTGTTGGGACATGGGAACCTGGAATGAGTTTCTCTCCCTCAGATCCAAATACCAAAGAGTGCCAAGACCTAGAAATGTGGATGCAAGACTCTAAGAACCAGAAGGAAGCTGGCCTAGAAAGTTTAACTGTTCCCTTATAAGCTAGCTGATAGATTCACTTCTTCTAATTCAAAGATTCCCTCAGTTGTCTTCACTTTGTCCCCTACCATCAAAGTAATACTGTGTATGTTTCTTATTGGAGACACAGACAAGTTACCCCATCTGCAAAATAAAGATAGTAATACCCATTTCAAAAGGGTCACTGTGAAAACTGGATGAGAAAATATTCGGAAAACAGATTCTGTAGCACTCTACATGTTAGGTAGGCACTCATAAAATAGCAGCTGTCACTATTACACAAGTTTTAAAAACTGAAGTTCAGTATTCAAACTTTGCTAGGACTTTATGTTCATATTGGCCTTACTGTAGGTAACAGATGCCACCCCATCCCTGCCACCGCCTACTGCAAATCTGCTGTCTGTTCAACAATGTTTTCCATTAAAATTCTTCTGGAAATGTAAGTTATACAAATCCTAAAAATATATTCAACCCTTGGGACACATTAGCTTTGCTAATGAGCGGTCCATTTAAGTTTAAATATCATGTAAAATCCAGACAGTAAGTTTTCAAATGATGAAGCCATGTGATCATGCATGTTGATTACATACTCATTTCTTTAACTGTTTTTTCCTGATCAAGTACAGAATCTCTCTCCCCTTAATTTTTCTCATGGTTGAATATTTTGGTTACATCAGGAAACATACTTTGTTAAGTATTCTTAACTAGGATATTAAAGTTTCAGTAGTGCTGAACACCCTGAGGAGGTCTGCACTGAATGAAAAATTATGCTCTCAGACAGCAAGTCTCATACATTAACTTGATCCCATTGCCCTCGTTTCATAAGTGAAATTGTCTGATTAGGGAAATTTGGGGTGGCAGTTCGCCTAGCAGTTAAAATGACAGGTAAGACAGCTGTGTCCCACATCGGGGAACAAGGGTTCTCAACTATGGCTCTAGATTCCTGCTTCTAGCAAATGGAGACCTTAGGAGGCAGCAGGTGATGGCTCAAATAACTAGGTTCCAGCCACCATGTGGGAGACCTCTAAATCGTGCTCCCAGGTCCAATCAGCAGTTACATACATCCGGGGAGTGAATCAGAACACAGGAGATGTTTCTCTCTGCATCTCTCCCTTCTGTGTGTATGTAAGCTTCTCTTTCTGATTCTCAATTTAAAAACTTGAGAAATTCAAGGGACAGAATAAAAATAAAACAGAAGTATAATATCACCACTTCTATTTTCATGGGAATTGAATGATTAAACAGTAACACCTAACTATGCTTTTACTATAAATACAGGTATGTAACTCAAATTAACTCATGAGTTTATGATATTTTTTCACCAGATTTTGTTGCTGATGTTTAAAAATCACTTGCAGGGTCGGTGCTATGGTATAGTGGGTAAAGCCGCTGCCTGCAGTGTCGGCATCCCATATGGGCACCGGTTCAAGTCCCAGCTGCTCCACTTTCGATCCAGCTCTCTGCTATGGCCTGGGAAAGCAGTCAAGATGGCCCAAGTCCTTGGGCGCCTCCACCCGCATGGGAGACCCAGAAGAAGCTTCTAGCTCCTGGCTTCGGACCAGCACAGATCTGGCCAACTGGGAGTGAACAAGTGATTGGAAGACCTCTCTCTCTCTCTGTCTCTCCATGTAACTCTGACTTTCAAATAAATATATAAATCTTTTAAAAAAATCACTTGCTACTATCGGTTCTCATTTCTTCTCTTTACTATATGCATCACTCACTCATTCATGAAGATCCTGGTCCTCAAGGAACTTTCAGCTTAGTTGAGGAGAGAAGTGAGGCAGCAATTATCAGGTGCAATGACAAAGGGCACTAAGGAAGCAAGAAGGGTACTAGCAAGATGTAATACCTACACCCAACTTTTCCTTATTGCATGTAAAATTTATGGGGTATAGTGTGATAATTTGAAACATGTATATAGTGCATGAAGATCAAATCAGGGTAACTAGCATTTCCACCTCCTTAATATTTATCATGTCTTTGTGTTGGGCAACCTTTGAACCTCATCTTCTGTTTCTTTATCAGAACCAATGCTTAATTTACAGCAACAGAACCACTTGAAGGGGAATAGGAAGGAAACATTAAACTACTTCTAGCACTCAACATAGAAAGGTTTCTTAAGAAATTCATGCACACATAGTCTTTGTTTTTTAAAAATTTCATACTGTTTATAGAGGACCTTGGAAGAGCAATAAATGAGCACTTTTAACAAGGGAAGGTTTAAAGGGAAAATAAAGTTTCTTCCATTCAAATTTCATGGGACTCTGATTTTAAGACTCCCAGCCAATCTAACTCATATAGGAAAAAGCCCCACGGGAATGATTATGTTATAGCTTTTTGATAATACTTTTGGTTTTAAATACTTGATATGTCTGTAAAAGCTTGTATTTGATTTATCTCCTTCACTTGCTTACTTATTTAATTTGTGCTATCAAACAGGTTCCTAGTCATAAATGCTCCATTGCAAGTCTGACCTATAACTGTGAACCATTCTCTCTAATTGGGCTGTAAATATTTGTTGAAAAAGGCATTAATGCCTTTTAGAAAGACATTAATGAATAAGAAAAAAAAAACATAATGATCATTTGGAGGAAAAAAAGGCACATTACCAGACATTTGCCAAAAACAAAGGCAAGCTTTTAAAACCCATTATCAGGTTCAATACAAACTTATGACCTGGTTAACTATTACAGTGAACAAAAGAAAAGAAGTTATTTTCCATATGTTTGGTGAGCTGGATAGAATATAAGATACATCTCTTTACTCACACAAATACAAATAAAATATTTTTTTAAAAACTTGGTTTAAATATGTACTCTGAATATGTTTGTGCCATGTGAGTGGTGCTATTAGCTCTATTCATTAGCTTTATCTGTACTTACTATATTTTTACTGCAAAATAGTCAATGAATTTCTGTGGCTTTATTACAAAGATGGAAAATGAAAAATGAAAAGAAACAGAGGAATAGCCATTCATTTCAAACAGTGAAGGAATGAGTAAACTTAATGACAGACATATATTCTCAGGCATGGAAAGGCAATGAGTAGACAAGAATGTGATACTAGTAATCAAAGGTCTGTATGTGAAACCATAAAAGAGGAAAAAACAATTCTAAAAAACAAGTATTAATATGCTTATTTTAAAATAACTAATTGCCATGTTCCACCTAATGTGCAAAGACAAGAACATTCCTCACTCAAGATCTACAATGAAACTTATTTGAATGAACTTGACCTTGGTTGGCAGCAAGCCAGCAACCTTCCTCACTGGATGACTTAACAGAACACTGTGTTCTTGGCACAAACACAAAAGTACTTGTTGAAATCCATGCTAAAAAGAATCTCAGTATACATTTAGAATCAATTTCCAAATGAAATGATAAGAGACATTTCACTATAATTAGGGTTTTTCAAGGTTTGACTCTTATTTATTTTGGGTTTTTTTGTTTGTTTTTAAATTCTCACTCCATTTTGGCCATTTTGAATGCTTCCACGAACAACCATTTTACAAGCTCTCTAAACCCTCACTCTGGCCCTCCTCCTATGCTGACTCGTCC